TTAGGTCATCCTCACTCTCGTGCACTAGGACTGATGTTACCTAATCTCTCTTTTAAAAATGACTCTTGTGAAGCGTGTATCCTAGGAAAACATTGCAAGACTGTTTTTACTAAATCTTCTACTATTTATGAGCATTGTTTTGATTTAGTTCACTCTGATGTTTGGACTGCTCCTTGTGTCTCTAGAGAAAACCACAAGTGTAGATACCTTACCATTGCAGATTCAAAATTAAGCGGTATCGTAAATTGACACAACACATAATTCGATTTTTTCCGAGATATGTAGTGAAAAACCAAGTGTAGTCTTTTTCATTTTCCCTCTCATCCTCGTTAATTATTTAATTCTATTATTTTCTCTTTATTGGTAATGATTTGTGGCCATTGATTGTTTTTATCCTGTGGCTGAGATCCATCTTCTCCATCACTCGGCCAATCTTCTCCATCTACCTTGAATTGAATCGTTAAACCTAAAATCACAAGTCTTCAGATCTGTACGCAGAGCTTGGCTCTAATCAACCTCTTATGATTCAACTCTCTCTCTCTCTCTCTCTCTCTCTCTCTCTCTCTCTCTCTCTCTCTATCTCTCTCACTCGGCCATGATTAAAGCTTCATCGACAACGCTTGACTCGAGTCAGGGATGGCGAGCGACAACGGAGCAGCGCCGGTGGCAAGGCGGAAGATGGCTGTCCTTCATAAGCAGATGAGAAGAGGGTTCGACGGTTCAGCTCGCCGGAGATGAATGAAGGAGCCTCTCTTTTCCATGAACCTCGCCGGTCAAGCTCTCTCAATCTCTCTAAAACTTTTTCAAGTCTTTACTTTTGAGATTTGGGTTCCTTTGTGACTTTGTTAATTCTATATGAGCTCATTAGATTACTGCCTCTCCTGTCCTAACACACAGCTGGTCAACGTTTAAAGACTCTAAACTACTTACAACGGGATTAACCTGAAATGGGATGTCGAGTTTCTCTGCTTCCTCAGCGAGTCTATGAGCCATTTGATCAAGCACTTCCTTGTGGTGATGAACGCCAGTGATCCTCAGATGCTGTGGACCTTCAGGCCTAGAGTTAAAAGCTTGAATCAAAGCAAGCCACTGAGCAGGCTCTGAAGCATTGAGATCAATCACGTGAACCATCTTCTCTCCTTCCATAGCCTCGAGTATAGCTCGATTGGTGAGCAGGTAAGATACTTTGGGGGATTTAATCTTAACTCATGTAATTATCTTTGTTTATTTATGAGACATGGCTTTGCTCCTATCTATTGATACATCTTTTGAAAAAGAAAAACTAATGCATTTATATCTAGAAGGAAGCTTTTTATACAACCGGATTTTAATTTCTGAATTTCATTAGCTACATTCAACGTAGTGACCCCATTGAGCAGGCGAGAGACTATTGCTCTCTGCTAGTTTTTTGTTGTTTGTTTGTTCTTCTCATACCGTCATATCTCACATGTAACTTTTTGTTTTTGTTTCAGGAAGTCAAACTTCTGAGTAACTTTCAACATCAAAACATTGTGCAGTATTTTGGTAGTGAGACTGTGAGTATTATTATAATCTTTGTTTACATATGCTTATAATCTAAACTCTAGCTGTTTACATATGCTTATAATCTACTGGAAGATGCATTGCATTAGGAGCTCAATCCTGCAACATTTGAGACTAAGAGTGCCGGTCAGACCGGTTTTTCTTCTAGAGAGGGAGAATGTTTACATTAGTAAAATGAATTTTACAACAGGACATGATGGAGGCCAAGATCAAGTTTTGAGTAAGGTTATTGGACTGGTCAAGAAGTACGACACAACCAATGCCTCTAAGGTACTGTTTTTTCTTATTTGCATATAACGTTTTTACAGTGAAGAAACGGCTGACTTTAAGAAAGATTTGTTGCTTCACAGTTTAGATAGGGTGGAGATAGTGATGGCTATTGAAGAAGAGTTCTCTGTCGAGATCCCTAATGAAAAAGCAGGTAACCTTACTTGTTGTACTGATATTGCAAGCTTTCATAGTCTCTGAAACTCACTCCAAAGCGCCAGAGTCCTGACTTTATTTTTTGTCTTCATTGTTCTGTTGATCAAAGTCTAGAAACATGTTTCTCTCAGCCATTTTTCATTTGGGTCACTGCTGTTACATTGCATTTAATGTATAATGTAAGCTAAGTAATTGGCTCTCCTTGGAGTTCTGGTGGATGATGTAGCAATTCATGATCCTAGTGGGTGGGTTTCTTTTTGAGTGGTGGTCTGTAATCTTCGTAGCTATGATAATATGCACATTTATATCATAAATCAGTTTCTTTTTTCAGAATAATTGTATTAGATGTAAAATGTCATCATCATATATTGCAAAAAATTACATTTTAATTTATATGTTTGAGTATAAACTTAAAGGATACAAAATTATAATTAAAGGATACTTTAAACCCTAAACAAATTTTCATTTATAAATTTTTTTGTTTATTTGTATTTTTTAATTTAAACAAAAAACTAAACCCTAACCCCAAAACTTATATATAGTATATAGGGTTTAAACCCCTAAACATAATTTTTTTAGAAACTTCAATCTTAAGCTTAAACTAAAAATTTAATAGTTTTAAAAATTTAATCTTAAATTTCTAATTTAAACCTCAAACACTAAATTTTAAATCTACACCCTAAATCTAATACCGTAAATCTAACACCCTAAACCCCAAACTTAAACTCTACATAAGTCATAAATCTAAATCTTTTCAAACTTATAATATAAACTTTAAACTTAAACTCCAAATCTATTCTAAAACTCAAAACCATATACATAACTCTAAATCTAAACCCAAAACTTATATATAATGTAATATAGGGTTTAAACCCCTAAACATATTTTTTAAAACTTCAATCTTAAGCTTAAACTCAAAATTTAATAATTTTAAAAATTTAATCTTAAATTTCTAATTTAAACCTCAAACACTAAATTTTAAATCTACACCCTAAATCTAATACCCTAAATCTAACACCCTAAACCCCAAACTTAAACTCTACATAAGTCATAAATCTAAATCTTTTCAAACTTATAATATAAACTTTAAACTTAAACTCCAATTCTATTCTAAAACTCAAAACCATATACATAACTCTAAATCTAAACCCAAAACTTATATATAATGTAATATAGGGTTTAAATCCCTAAACATATTTTTTTAAACTTCAATCTTAAGCTTAAACTCAAAACTAGATTTTGACCCGCGCTTTTAAGCGCGGAAATTTTTTATGATTAGATATTTATGTAATTGAGTTTTATCTTAATCTAAAGAATGTTTTGGGATAAAATCAGTTCAACAAAATTTGTGGTAATGATTGTTATTCATTAGTTTTTAGTTTCAGTTTTTATTTTTAGATGTTGTTTTAGATTTTGGTTTTTATTTTTTAAGTTTCTATTTTTGATTTTCAGCTTTTGGTTTGGGTTTTTAATTTTTAGACCCGTTGAGTTAGTTTGAACTGATATTACTAACAAACAAATCCCAAATAATCGAACATCTAATTTAAAACTGAAAAGATGACAAAATATTTTTAAAAATTTTCAATAGTTTATTTTGTAAATAAATAAAAGCAAAAAAATATAACATGTTTTTCAATTTTTGGTTTTGGATTTTAGTTTTTAGATTTGGTTTTTGGTTTTTGGTTTTGCTTTACATTTTTTTTAAATTAGTAAATTATTTAAGAAAAATAAAAAAATAAATTATTTAAAAGTTATCATTGAAATTTATCAAAACAAAATGATTGTTATTTGAAATAAAAAATGATTAATTATAGACAATTTTGTTTTGTTTAAAAATATTAAATACCTTTTGGGCTTGAAAATAATAACTGATTTTTTATCCATTAAGGTGGAAAGTTTATTCAATGTTTTTTGCAGTTTTTCCTTAATACTAAGCCCAAAAACCAAACCATATAATTTGTTCTAAAAACAAAATTAAGCCCAAGACTATATCCCATAAATAACCATTAGTTTAATTTAAGTAATGCGGTTCAATTAATTATATGGCTTGTTTTACATATTTGTAACACTCTAGAAAGGGTCCAAATTTAAATGACAACTTGTATCAGTAGATAAAAAAAATGACTATATTTTAATAGAGTAGATTTAGTAATTTTAAAAATTTAATCTTAAATTTATAATTTAAACCTCAAACACTAAATTTTAAATCTACACCCTAAATATATTACCCTAAACCCCAAACTTAAACTCTACAGTCTACATAAGTCATAAATCTGAATCTTTTCAAACTTATAATATAAACTTTAAACTTAAACTCCAAATCTATTCTAAAATTCAAAACCATATACATAACTCTAAATCTAAACCCAAAACACTATTTTCCAAACCCTAAATAATCCAAACACTCAAAATCATACAATAATATTCAAATTTAAACATTATAATACAAACCCTACATATACCTCTAACCCTACTTATAACTCCAAACCCTCCAAACCCTATATCTTATTCCAAACTCTATACAAGAAGTATTAAATCATAACATTTTAAATTTATAACACCTATTTTTTACTAAATTATGAAATTATACAAACTATAAAATTTAAATAAATGAGTATATTCATAATATAAATTCAATCCCTAAATTCCTACCACATACTTCATATTGATCTATATCATAAAACATTAAATCTGAATTTTTAATATTTTAGTCAATGACACAATTTTAAAATTTAAATACAAAATATTTATGAAAAGTTTTAAATTATTATATCAAATTATTTAAAGTTTAAATAATTTTACAACAATTATAAAGAAAAAATATATATACTGTTTTTTGCGGAGCCATTGATTAATTTTTAAATCAAAGGTCCACAATCAATATTATATCTATCTTTGCATTTGTTTTCTATTGGTTGGACTCGGATCACCTTCANATACAAAATATTTATGAAAAGTTTTAAATTATTATATCAAATTATTTAAAGTTTAAATAATTTTACAACAATTATAAAGAAAAAATATATATACTGTTTTTTGCGGAGCCATTGATTAATTTTTAAATCAAAGGTCCACAATCAATATTATATCTATCTTTGCATTTGTTTTCTATTGGTTGGACTCGGATCACCTTCATATTCGGCCTCATTATTCGAAGCGTTGAATTCGAGCCTGTAAGATTGTTCGATGGTTTCTCCAGCTGAAGAGCTCAGCCTTAGATCAATTCCGGAGCCTTGTTTTGATGAGGCTCCGTCGACATACAAACTCCACTCCGGGGCTTCAATTCTCGGGTCTAAGTTCTCGGACGATAGCTTGATGATAAAGTCGGCGAGGACCTAAGCTTTTATGGCTGCTCGGGGTCTATACTCGATGTCGTATTCGCTTTGTTCTATTGCCCACTTAGCTAATAGTCCTGATTGGCTAGGGCATTGTGCGTATTGGTTGTGAAGTCATTACGACGATTGAGTGCGATTGGAAATAGGGTCGTAACTTTCTGGCAGCTGTTACGACCGCCAGAGCTAATTTTTCCATAGTAGGGTACCTAGTTTCGGCGTCTATCAGACTTTTGCTTGTATAATAGACGGGTCTTTGCTCATTTTGCTCTTCTCGTACCAGCACACCGCTAACTGCAGTGGTTGATACGGCGAGGTATAGGTACAGTGGTTCTCCTGTTACTGGTTTGGACAGGATCGGAGGCTCGGAGAGATAAGTTTTCAGTTGCTTAAAAGCTTCCTCGCACTTCTCATCCCATAAGAACTTCTTTTTTTTCAGAATTTTATAGAACGGGAGGCATTTATCGGTGGACTTGGATATGAATCGATTCAAAGCTGTGATTCGTCCAGTCAGTCTCGTACCTCTCTGGTTGTCTTAGGTTACGGGATCTCCAGGAAAGTCGCTATCTCTTTCGGATTGGTTTCGATACCTCTTTCGGTTACGAGGTAACCGAGAAACTCGCCCGAGGGCACCTCGAAGGTGCATTTTGCGGGGTTGAGTTTCATATCGTATTTGTTGTGGATATCGAAGCTAGCATTCTTTTAGGTGGGAGATGTGATTTTCCCCAGCTGAAGATTTAACCAGCATGTCGTCGATGTATACCTCCATGGTTTTTCCGAGCTGTCCGGCGAACATTTTGTTCACGAGCCTTTGGTAGGTAGCTCCTGCGTTTTTTAATCCGAATGACATTACCTTGTAACAGTAGGTTCCGCGTTCGATTATGAACGCAGTTTTTTCTTGATCTTCAGGATTCATCATGATTTGATTATATCCCGAGAAGGCATCCATAAAGGACAAGAGCTGATGGCCAGCTGTCGCTCCAATTTCACATACTTCATTTGTCCCATCATCTTCATAAGCGTCTCATCACACTCAAGAACCTGCTCCGGAATAACGGGTGGAGGTGGTGGAAACTAAAAACCCCCTTGAACCTGCTGCGCGGGAATCTAGTGATCCTGCTGAACCTGAATTGGCGGGGCCTGCTGCATATGAATCTGCGGACCATGCTGCACCTGAACCTGAGGACCATGAGGACTCTGCTGAACTGCAGCCATCTGCCTAGAAACCTCCTGTGCTGCTACCCTTGTAGCTTCTTGGGCGGCCTGTCTAGCTCGCTCTTGGGAAACCTGCTGAACTGCTTCCTGAGCAGCTTGTCTAGCTGCATCCTGCACCATCTCTCTCTAAGCGTCCTGATCAATCGGTGGGGGTGGAGGTGCAGATGCAGGCTGCGGAATTGTGGGCTGCACATGCTCATCTCCAGCCTCTCAAGCAGCTCCAGAAGTCTCATTACGAACAACTCTCAAACTCGGCGGCATCTGAAAGGGGAAACAAACCGGTTAACTTCTATCAAATGACAATTTCAAACAGTCAAGAGAGTGATACCAGACATAAAGGTGCTATTAATTTTTATTTTGAATATTCCCAATTCTCCACACAAAAAAAAAAATTTCTTTCAGAATCGTGAAAAATCGAATTAAAAATCCGACTTAAAATTGAAATCTCCACGAATCGCCATCCCAGGTCAAAGCCGGGACGGGACCACGCTCTGATAC